CAAAATTCCTCCTACCTGAAATAATCCTTAGCAGCTGGCTCATTGGACCTTGGCTCATTCCCGACACTCCACATGATGACACTCGGGCGATTCTTGTCACGGCGGACCAACTCCTGCATGACAGCAATGTGGCGCTCCATCAACTCCTTGCCAAAACCTCTGCCAGAAAGAAGAATATCATACTCTCTTTCTCATGAATTTTCCAAAGGATTCACATCACACCATGATTAAAGGATTCCCTACACACCATGATCATAAAATGGACAGTCTCAAGTGACCATTAAACTTTGAGTAAAAACCAAAACTGATAACATCCAAAGAACATACTTGAGATCAACGGCTGGACTCTCATCCACAATCATGATCCCCTCCTGGTCTGCCATGTCCATGATCTCCTCCGCATAGGGGTAGTGAGACGTACGGAAGCTGTTTGCACCCAGCCACTTGAGGAGGCTGAAGTCCTTCACAATCAATGGGTAGTCGACACCTTTGCCCCTAATCTTGAGAATACAAGAGATGCAAATTATGAGAATGTTATTATTCAATGTTATTAATAAACAACATGAAAAAGAATGTCTTTAAAGTCGTAAAAAAAATTTAAGTTTTAACTCAACCAAACCATATCAGTCACCCACCCTCATCAGAGAGCTACAATCCACTTACATCTGAATCTTCATGCCGTCCACAGCCTCGCAAATACAGGGGCTGATTGTTGATGGTCAGCATTGTGGAGTTCCACCCAAGAGTGCGAATGCCAACTTTTTGAGGATAGAGGTCCAGCACACCAGATGCATCTGACACTGCTACCTGAGGAAACAAGAAGGATAAAGATAAGTCTCTCTGTCTTTTACACTGCTCAGATATTCTAATACATACATAGTCAAATATTTATAAATATATCAATGCAAACACATACATGGATATATTTACCATCAAAGTATACATATATCCAGGGTTGCTATGCATGAGGTACGGCCACCAAAGACTGGCATTGCTGATCTTAATAGTGCCGACACAACCCACAGCACTAGTGATATGATCTCCCTCGTTATCCAGGAGTTTAACAGAACAGCCCACATTGTCTTCGGTTTGGGGGCCGATCCCAGAGGTGGCCGCAAATATCTTGTAATAAATGATACCTGAAAGACACAGACATTGTTTAACTCTTGGAAAGAAACATTTTTGTAATTATTTTTTTACAGAACCTCATTTGTAATTTCATCTTCAGGGTAAAGTATGAAAATAAATTCCATCACAATATCCAAATTCTATCAGAACTCAAAGGCATACTTTAATGAATGAATTATCACAAACCTGCAGACCCATCAATGTTAGTGTTAATCAATATATCATCAACATATGTTTGAGGTGTTGTGTAGAGGTAAACTGGCCTATGAAGACCTGCGTAGTTGAAGAAGTCAAAGTCTATCTGCTGCTCAAAGTAGCCTGGAGGATACCTGAAAACCGCATAAATTAATAAAATCAATCCAGGCACAAAGAGGGATAATTTCATCTTTATCAGTTATGTTACTTCCATTTCTTATATCTTGGAATTCTTTTTTTTTTTCTTTTATATACATTCTATGAGTTAACCAAATGTGAAAATGACGAAACATTTCCTAAAAATCTGATACCTAAAGGAACTAATATTTTTATGTGTTATTTAAAGCCAATTCTTATATCTTGAAATTGTCTAATTTTCACACACTACAATAATAAAAACATAACATACATGAAACCTTAACCCTGATGATGTTGCCTGATTATATTTTGTGATGTAATATTACGCAACAGTCTAGACTTTGTAGCTATGCCTAAGCTGTATACAGCCAGCCCACCGTCTGCGAGTCATGACGCATTTACATGTCATAAGCCATTACGTCATGAGGGCCATAGCTGTAACTGTCATTGAGGAGTTAATCAAATAAATCAATAGCCAAAAAAATTATGAAATAATATAAACCTGGGTACACTACATTCAGTCTCTTATTAATCTGATAATCCTGACCAGAGTTTTTCTTAACCTATTTCATCAACAAAATCAAATACAACCACAAAGTCATAGAACTTGCTTCGTAGTGTCGTTATGGTAGACAATCTTTCCCTGAGGTATCGTGCTGGGCGTCAAAGTGTTGTTGATGGCCACAGTAATGAGGTTCTCCTTTCCGAATTTAAGACTGCCCGCTATCTCAGCCATTATGGGGAGATGTCCTCCTTCATGGGACGTCACAGCTACACCATTGATGTACTGAAAATTGTGGAATCCTTTTCTTTCTGAGTGATAATTTTAACGGTAAGAATATGTGGTTATACAAAAATATTCAAATTATTTATCTTCATTCTGGACTCTTACAAATATAATCTAAAACATATATCTATACTGTACCATAGGTAATACTCACAATGACTGAGTTGTAATGGGCAGACCCAAGACGAAGAACAACTCTCTGCTTGTCAGCTTGCCATCTCACAGGCACGTAAAAAGTGCGATCATACCTAACAAAAAACAAAGATAAATATCTCTAAAAGATTCCTATTCTATAATATCCTCCAGCTGCTAAAATGCATTATAATTAAACTGCATTTATTGTAGGCAGTGTCAAAACTTACTGCATTATTTCAGATTATTTAATGATATGGATGTCATTCACACAAACTCACCATGCCCATCCAATATGGTCTCGAAGAGCTTTATCTTGCGTTATATCATTGTAGCTACTTGGAACTGCCATTGTTATTACAGAACCACTCTAAAACAGCAATAAAATGGAATAAAAGTAACAGACAATAACCATTACATAAAATATATTTTCCTTAATTTGCTTCAGCAGTAACATTTCATCATTAGCTTTTGTTATAATCAGTAATGGTAAAATGTGAAAAGAAATGGCGAGTGAAAGGGATACAGACTTCCAGTGAGTTTTCCAGACCAATTGCACATTGTCATTACTCTATGGTCAGTTTTATGATTGAACTTATCAGATTATAATATACAGTAAATCAACATATTACTATACAAAAATGTTGAGAGATGAGTGTTTTAAATGGATGCATAGGTTTCCACAAACAGTCTTCCATTCCTACTATTATGCTGCAGACACAGAAAGAAAGTTTTAAAAATACTCCCAGTATATTTCTGTGAACTTTTCAAAAAAAAAAATCATAAAGCACCTTATTATTTTCCACACAAGATAAATAATAAGAGATAAATGGGTAAATGATTAGAAGGCACTAAAATATGTCCCTTTTAAAATGGGCTTTTCCAATCATCATTATGCTGACTGTGTTCTTTCTAAATTTGCCAGAAACTTGCTGTGATTTGTCATGTGTATATGATATAAAATTTAAATGACAAAACAATCTGTGAAAGTACATACTTTGGATGGAATACATGATAAATTAATTAATCAATCAACATATCTCATGAATTCTAAAACATAACTGCACCAATGAAAATCATTTCATTAAGAATAAATCATACTAATGAATAAACAAGAAGCTTGACAATCACTAGTTGAACTTTAACACAAGAATAGTTTTGTGGTATTTAGCCATTCATACCAAAATTCATCATTCAGATTGGATTTTATTTTATTTTCCAAAGAGGGTACTATATGCCATCATCATCATTCAGAGGTTCCCCTTATTTTCAACACCTATAACAGGTTGGATATCAAAACCATTAACCTCTTTCTCCTTGTATTCTAACATAATAAGATAAATAGGTTGGGTATAAATTCAATCACATTCTTCATAAAGATGACATAGGTTAGATACCCCAAGTTAAGTTAGTTTTAATTAATTGTCTACTGTTCTGCCAATGGAATTGACTACTGAACAGTTGGCAAAGGAATATAAATCTTAGAACATCTTCTAAAACTGCCAGTCATTAAAAGGGAAGCATAATAGGATAATGGAAATTTATGCCATCAAAGATTCCTGTACAACACCTTAGAGACATTTTAGAGCATTTATTGCTCTGTTATAGAGAGATAGGCAATAACTTCAGGATTTTAAGTCCAACTTCACCAACTTACATTAGCTGGCCATATCATAGAGGAATTGATCTATACTCACATTTCAAAAAAAAAATAGAAAAAATGTATATATAATGTATTTATAATATATATATATACAATATTTATATATATAAGATAATTATTAAATATATTATAAATACGGTATTATACTAATTTATATTATATATAATATAGTATAAGATAATAGCATATAATATATATATTCACGTATATATTATTATATATATATATAGCATATGTAATATACTATAGTTATATATAGTATAATATACATATAATCTTATATATATTATATGTAATGGTTCCATATAGTACGTATATTTTTCCGGTAGAATTTTGGGGTGGTAGGCTTTACCATAAAAGATAAAGATAATGGGTAATGGTGACTTTGATCCGGTGTATAGACAGATTAAATGATGGTGAATTATGACTAATTAAAATAGTTATCATTCTTAATGCTAATTTTCGAAAATGATGAATGATGATTTTATGATGAGATCGATGATGTATGATAGATGTATGATGATAGTATGATGATGATGAAATGATGATGATGGTGATGCATGATGATGATGATGGCTCGCATGATGAAGGAAATGCTAATTTAGTTATATTAACTCCTATGATAACAACAATAATAGCAAGAACGGAACGAAATACATAATACATTGATTCACTCTTCATCAATTGTTCCTACACATTTTGAGAGAGCACGCAACACATTTACTCGAGACGTAGTTTCAGAAACGTCTATTTTTTCTCTGGGAAAAAAAAAAATTCTGTTGAAATGAGAACATTTATGGAAATATTACAGTCCATACCTGGAAAAACTAAAAATCACCGTATTCAAATAGCAGAAACAGAGTGAGAATCCACGAGTAAGAAATCAGGGAGAAATACGTGCAAGTGACCAGATAATCAACAGTTGACAATAAAAAAGGAAAACTAAGCCAAGGCCAG